GAAGTGGATGTAAACAATAATGTATGTATTGCGCAATGAAAATTTTAACACCTCTAAGTTATCAATTATATATTATCTGCTGTACCATCTAATTCTTTGCACTCTTGTTAAAATTTACTGCTGGGATAAAAAATTTGCTTCTCTCACAACCATGTTCTTCTCTTAATTATACTTGCCAATATTTAAAAGCTGGAGAAAACAGGAAGACCTATTGCTTCGGCTTGCAGTTGTCCGTCCTATCGAGAATATTTCAAGATTTTTCATAATATATTTTATGTAATGTCTGGCAATTTGTTTCAAGTTACTAAGCAAGCCGCCCTTAATATATTTGCCTATTGCTGAGAATGAAGACATTAATAGCATCTTCACTATAGACGTCATTTCTCCCTAAACCGGCACATCTAACAAAGAAATCAAAATAGTTGCAAACACTTGGTTGATAAGAAAAAATAACCTAACCGTTATTCCAGCTAAAACTTTATTTTGAGATTAATTGAAAAGATTCCTACATTTCATTGACAGAGCTACGGACTCACTTTAGTCCACACAACATTGATGTCTTCGTGGGAATCGCCTCTTCGAATTCTCCGATTTCGTTTTTATATGTTCTATCTTATAAATACAACAGCTAAACCATTCAGTATTTGTTGACTAAGTGGTAAAAAGCTGTAAGATACAAAACAATGACTTTAGAATATAAACATATCTTAACATTTTAAATTAAAGTAAGTCTTATAATATGCAGTAGTTAACCTTAATCTTTACAAGGTGAATTACTGACCCAGCTTACTTTCAGATAAAATTTTAAATAAAACGGAGGATGGACAATGACACAGCCAAACATCGACAGAGACAAACATCGACAAAAGTGGACATTGCGTTAAAGAACCTTCGTAAACTAAATGTATTTATTAACTATCAATAGCACATGGGTTTGTTGTTATATTGGGAACATGTGTTCATGTTAACAATAATATTTAAATTATTTTAGCATAACAATAAGTCACCTTTACATAGTTAAGAGTTAAAGTTTCTTTATATGATAGCACGGACTGGTTATTCGCGATTAAAGATTACATTGAAAATACATTTTAATATTTTGACCATTCGAAACATAGTCTTAATGTAGAAAAGTCCAGGCTAGCTGTTTCCCATAGATATATGTTTTAGTTTTTGTTCATAAATACTTTATTTGCGTTTGAGGCCACGAATAAGAAAATAACTTGGAATTTGGAAAGTGAGTTTCAGAGAAGGATTAATAGATAAAACAATTTTTATATCATTGATTGATTTGTTAAACAAATTTTGATTTATTCTGCATAATCTGTTCCTCTGTTTGACTTCCTTACCTGTGCCAATCATTCTATTATACACAGTAAATATGGACTTGAACCATATCTATTTCTGATCCAATAAATCTTAAAATCGCGTAACATTTCAAGTTATATATAAATGTGTTTGTTTATACTTTGATTATATTGGTGGATATTTATTGCATCTTAGGCTAATATCAATAACTGCATATATGTTAACATGGAGACGAATGCATGTGCAGTGTGTTATTTAATTCAATTATAAACAAGAGGAAACGTTTTCAATTTCGTGGTTCAGAGAGCTGCTGGAGAAATTTAATGCAAAATGCTAAAAAACTAACAAGATTACATATTATAAAGTGACAAACCATAAAGATGTCTACAAATTTCAGAATATTTTACGTCGTGACCATGAAGAAATATAATCTAACCGACTTCTTCTATAATACAGGCTGGCATGTTATAATTTCCCTTGGCAAAATGTGAAAATATATACATGTATACGAAACACAACACATAAATATAAAAATACAGTTCAAACTGAAAACAAGAATATACTAGATGAATCGCAAAAAGACACAAAAAAGAATATTTCTATAGTATTAGACATCCTGGATAATTTACAAACATGGAAGCTAGTATCATTATTTTTTTTAAATAATAACAAGCTGAAAAATGCGATGGTAAGTTAACGCTTTATTTTTGTTGTCCTTCCAAACCAATTGGAACCATTTAAGTTTATGTGAAAGAAAGAACTACAAGAATCAACCATATAGTAAGTCATTGGTGTTCGTATGTTTAAGACTCAGACAATAAAGGTTAGTTCAATCCAAAATATGATAATAAGACAATGTTAATGAGTCAACATAGCGTCTACAACAATACAAAGAGTTTTTACAATGACAACATAAAACAATATAAAGTGTCTTTACAATGACAACATACAACAATACAAAGTGTCTTTACAATGACAAATTCAAAATCGTCTTATTTAGAAAAGTTAAGAATAAATTTTAGCAGAGACTAACAAAGACGTATCATCGAGTTTCCTAAAAAAAAAAAACAACAACATTAAGACCGTCACTGATTTGGTGAAGGTTAAGGACATGTGTCGGCTATAAAGTTTTGTGACAAACGTGCAGACACTTATAGGGGAGGTAAATTCAGTAAATGAATATTCGACATGATTGAGCTTTCTGTATAACACTGAAGTCCTGTGATTCACTGATTGGTAGATAAGTAATAGTTATCCCATGAGGACGCGGTGTGTCAGTGTAAGATCACCCCGATGGCCGGAGGCCAGAGGGTGATCTTACACTGACATACCAAGTCCGAATGGGATAACTATTTTACATCCCAGCTGTTCTAGATTAGATAAAAACCCATTTACGCTTCATAAAATCTAATTTAGAACGCCACACAATCATTATTATATACTTTATATATTACTATACAGTATATATACACTTTAAGAGCCCCGAACACAATGTTTAAATATGTTAAATGAACAGAGAGTTTGTATCCAGTCGTCCTGGTGTAGGGTTATGACTCGTGGGTTTACATGCTAAAGGTCTTGAGTTCGATTCCCAGCATAGATACTGGATTTTTTTCTACACAAATTTTGATATTAAGTCCGTATTGATATTTCTAGGTTTAATTGTGGATTTGACATTCCCGCCAAAATGTTACAGAACAAAGGAAAGCATGCAGAACAAAGAAACTCAAGCTAAGGTGATCTGGCAGGGGTGGTCGGGCTCAGATCACCCCTGGTAGAACAAAGGAGCTGGGATGTAATCTTTGTAATAAATAGTTTTATATGATGGATAAAAACTAAGGATAAAAAAAAATAAATGAAAGCTGAATGAATTTTAATTTTTCTTCTTCAGGGTTGCAATATAATGGGGGTCAGAGTAGGAATTGAGTGCGCGATTACATTGTCTGTTAACAAAGTAATGTGCATGGCCTAAAAATGCCGCATGACCCTATATATCCTATATTTTGATTGTTGCAAAATATGGCCGGGATTTTATTTGTACTTTAATGAATGATATATGAAAGCCTCTGATTTTTAAAAGTAAACCAGTTATAAATTTAATTCAAGAAATAGGTTTGCATTGAATCCAATGGGAGAATTTTTTTATCGAATTTGATCCTAGACATGGTTGACATTTTAAAAATTGAGTTATCTCCCTTTCACCAGGAAAACCTAATGTTAATATATCTTTGTAATGAATTTGGATTACATGATTTATGTTTCCAATCGGCCGTTTATTACAACAGTTTAGATATTTATTGATGTCGAAACACTTGCCACTGGATTATGGATTTATTTGACAGTTGAGACATGCATGACAGGGTATGATTAACCTGTTGACATACTTGGTCTCATTTCACTTGAAATATTTTTGATTTGCATATCTCATTTCGATTCCGATAGTTTATACTACAATATATGATTTATACCTAGACTTTTCAAAATGGTATAGGTATGCTACCTTCATGTCATAGAACAATTTTTAAAAGGATATGATGTTATAATTCATAACATAAAATCTCTAAACACAAATCACAAATAACATAATAAATGAACAGCGTGTTTATTGTTATTCATCATAAAGACACCGTGAGGCCTTCAACACTGTGCTAAAACTCCTTGAAAGTTGATAATGGACCCTAATATAAATTAAGAAGATATGGTATATACATGATAAACAATGAGACAACTATCCAACATAGTTTAAATAAAGTTGATATAAGCATGGATATACTATATTGTCAATATACTTCCATGTTTTAAGCAACTAAATAGGCCACCGTACAGCTTTCAACAGTGAGCAAGATCCATACCGTATAGCCAGCTGTAAAAAACCACGACATAAAAATATGTAAAACAATTTAAAAAAAAAAACCAACGGCCTGATTTATGACAAATATGACAGACAGCAGCAACTAATGACAACCACTGAATTACAGGAACCAGACTTGGGACAGACAATATATAGAATGTGGCGGGGTTAAACATGTATGTGAGCGCTCAACCTTCTCCCTAACCTGGGACAGTAGTTTGACCATATTTTTTTGGCAAATATTGTATTCACATTGTACATCAGCTATAAATCATTTGCGCAAAGCCCAACATACACATTCAACGACCATGTCTAAGTAAGAATGTGACAGATTTAAGATTTCCAAGTTTATTCCATATTTATTGTACTAAAAAAGTGAATTGAAAACAGTTACTCAGCAAAATGAAGTATTAATATGTAGTAAAGATGAACTATGGTCAAAGACCATAACTGTGAGTTAACAGCTAGTTTCAGTTAAATCACCCTGCCATTTTCCTCTTACCTAAACGTAAAGTCTTAATAAGTTTCAACTATATGAAAGAGTAGACAGAAGAGATGTTTGCATAAACAACGTGTGTTGTTGAGTTTTGACTAATATGATTCAGGTACCTTTTCGATGTGCCATCAGATAGTAAGCACCCTCCCCCTTCTATCTTGAAAGGGAGAGGTAAGTTCTTCTCCCATTAAAAAAGCTGTTTGGTATATGATATTGTATGTAAGTATAAACATAGGTAACATCTGCAGTTGTCACGCGATTTAGAAATTATGGAAACATAATTATTGGTATCATGTAAAACGCCATCCCTGTATAAAAATGCAAGCAAAACAACAAAGAAAGAAAGACGAATTAATATGGCATCCACTGTAGTTTTCTTGTTTGTATCTGTTCTGGTGACATTTGGTGTTCAGGGTTCCTGTCCTCCAAGTATTGGTAAGTTCGGCAAAATCTCAGAGTGGATACATGAAAGTGATATTAGAATGTAAATAGAGAAAAGTAAATGTTCATTTGATTTCCTTGTTTTGCAGGAAATGACGTCTTTGAAGACCTAATAAATGTGATGGTAAAAGTCAAGTGTCAGCAATCAGGTTAGTTTTTATCATACGTTCGAATTAAAATCCGAAAGTTAAATAATCTAGTCATTTTAAAAAAAATTACCATCGAAAGTTGATTTTCCTTTGCCGCAGTTTAACTGAATTTAAAGTTGTTCGACAACGTTGAAAGCATCTCAGTACTACTCATGCATGATCATTGTGAGAAAACGGATGCTATTTTTGTTCATTTTATTGTCATTTATTCTTCTTCCTTGTAACTGATTAATTGATTGATTGATTCATTCATGATTGTTTTACACGACATCAGCGTCTATTTAAAGGATAAAATGCAGTTAATATCAGTGAAACTAGTTTTAAAAACCGTTTATATATTAGAGATTCAATGATGCAGATCCTTGGTCTCAGAGCAAATATTTTTGCAGAGGTATTTTCCTGCTTATTTTTATTATTATCATTAATGAACAATTTATATAAGAGAATAGTTATAAAAACAGTACATTAAAAAGGAAATAGCGCTCGGAAAAATGTTTGAATTAGATGCATTGATTTTTAAGAGTGACCCACAAAATCTGCGTTTATAAACAAATCTAATATAAAAAAAAACGGTAGAATATATAAATCTGCGTCTGTATACATATATTATAACATTAACTCCTGATCTCTTTACAGTCAGTCAGCCTAGTTTGCAACCAGCTTTCTTTGCAACCTTGCCTAAAACCGTTTCACTTGGTACGAATGCTGTACTCAAACTTGATCGTATAGTGACAAATATTGGGAATGGATATGATCCAAACTCTGGAGTCTTTACAGTTGGTAAATCAGGACTGTACGAATTTGCTGCAAATTTCATCTCAAATGGTGATAATTGGCTTGAGTTAAATCTAATGAAAAATAACGAGTTCATAGTAAAAGGGCATTCAGCAAAGGATCATGGTACAGCAGGTTCACTTCAGGCCATATTACAAGTGAAGAAAGGAGACCGAATGTATCTCCGCAATCCCCGTAGCTATGGTTCAGTTCATGGAGACAACTATGCAATGTTTTCCGGTCATTTTATTCAATAAAAACTATTATAAAGTTTTATTTCATGTTCATTTTGTTTACATAATGTTTTTTCACTGTCTGTTTATACCACTACGTTGCTCATCCTGAACAATTGTTCAGCTGTTTGTTTGTTGTATATATTTTAGCATATAATGGTTCCGTCTGTACTCTAAACAAGTTAAGAGAGTATCTTCATAAAACTATTACCTAATTTGAAATAAAGTTATCCAGCGTTTTACTTGTGAAATCAACCTCGGTTTCTGTGTGTTTTGTCATAGTTTAACGCATAATAGCTTACATATGCATGACTGTATAAATGTGCATATATGATTATGCCATATGATTGCCGAAATACTACAATCGATATACTTCTGCAAGCAATACTGTACATCACCGTAGTCTCGGATCTATTAAATTGAAACTAAACAACATTTGGTAAACTGTTTTAATAAAACCTGAGGAAATTTCGACGGCATGTTATACCTAAATAATCCAAAACACTTCGATAAAGTACGGTCGTCCTTTTTGGCATAAAACCACTAATACATAGACCCATTGCTTTTTAGATTAAATTCTGCGATTTCAAGCATTCGTGTCTATTTTGTCTTAGGTTCAAATAAAGTGACAGTCATTTCATGTCAAAACTTTACCTTATACTGGCGTGTGCTGAAAAATTCAACATACCTTTAATTGCATACTATAGCGCACTGGTTCCCGGTAGTTTGGTAGTACAAAAACAGGTACCTCTGATCTGAACAACAGGGCAAATATGCCCCCCCCCCCATGTTAATTTCATATACTTTTTTATTATTGATAAGAAACTTTCAACAAGGGTTCTACAGTGATCCCAAATCCTTAATCTTTCAATTCATACAAAAATTACCCAAATATTTTACTAATTGACAAAGTTACAGCTATGCGTAGGAACTATTTTGTTTCAATACGAATTGTTGTGTCATTTGGTCTCTTGTGGAGAGTTGTCTCATTTGCAATCATACCATATCTTCTTATTTTTATATAAGGCTTTTATGCAAACACTATTTCACTGAATTCAAGCTCAAATTGGACTGGTAGTAACATATGCGCTATATACAAAGAAAACTGCATATGGACGATTATAGTAACCAATAAGGACTCTTTCCATTATTACTAGTTCTTATTTGTTACTCTCTACTCAAATAACAATGTCATTGCCCATATGTCATAGAGCAGAAAACAGCCGAAGGCCACCAATGGGTCTTCAACACAGTAAGAAAATCACGCACCCGGAGGCGGGCTTCCGCTGGCCCCTAAACAAAAATGTGTACTAGTTCAAAGAAAATGGACGTCATACTAAACTCCAAAACATATATAAATGAACTAAAATTAAAAAACATACAAGACTACCAAAGGCCAGAGGCTCCTGACTTGGGACAGGCGCAAAATTGCAGCTGGGTTAAACATGTTTTGTGAGATCTCAACCCTCTTCCTATACATCTAGCCAATGCAAAATAAACAAACACACAGCAATACGCACAGTAAAACTTAGGTTAAAAGGAGTCCGAGTCCGATGTCAGAATAGGTAACAAAGGAAACTAAGCAAAATGACAATGATACATAGATTAACAAAGGACTACTAGTAGTTACTGACATGCCAGCTCCAGACCTCAATTAAACTGATTGAAAGATTATGTCTTCATCATATGAAAATCAAGCACAATCCCTCCCGTTAGGGGTTTAGTATCATACCATCATAAAATATATGAGAAGAACATAACCCGTATCATGCCAACATTTGGTTTTAGAATAAATGTGTTTATTTCCGATGCAAAGACTCTATGAGTGAATCAATATCAATACCAAAATATGCCATCTTTAATGACCTGACAACAGTATCGTAACTATATCCCTTCTTTGTAAGTCTGTTTAAAGGTTTGGTTAGGTTTTTAGGTGAATGTCGACATTTGTGTGCTTTATATAGAATATTACCATAAAAGATTGGATGTGAAATACCTGAACGTATAAGATGTCTGCATGTTGATTTATATTTACGAATGATGTCCTTGTACCGATGATAAAATTTAGTAAATGTTTGTTCATTGAATATAAATATAGTAGTCCAAATATAAAATATAATTGAGAATTGTTCTCCCCTTTTTTTCTACGTGTTGGAAAAGGTATGTTTCTGATAAAAAAAAAAAAATACTTACATGCAATAACATGGACAACACGAGCAATTTCTTGCATTTTCAGAATTATATTTAATGCCGGAATTATCAGATTGGTCATCATTCAGTATTAAAGTATATTCAAGTATGTACCGAAATAAGAATGATTGTACCTAAATCTACTATTGAATTCAATGTTGAAGGCTATTAGAGCTTTGTGTAAAATTGTTTTAAAATGTTGCCATGCGAATAAATTTCTGGAGTACCAACTTCAACTTATTTTTCTACTGTTTGTATACCTCTCTTGGACATGGCAATTAACCGTATATGTAAACAGCTATATCAGAGAAGTTCAGAAAAATACCAAAAAGAGTCGTTTTATATGCAACAAAGATTAATACTTTTGAAATTAAGTTACTAAGTAAATTCAAAAGAACCTGATCCCGATGCAAACTTTGAATGTGAACACATCGAGGAGACCGCCAAAACATGTACAAAAATCGAGTCGACCAACTCATAAAATTGTAAAAAATCGTATATATCTTTTAACGGATAACCTACTTTGGAAAAACAAATCTTTAATTTTGTAACCTGTAAATACACAACTTCTTAAATCATTATATTTGTATTCAGCACAGATAAACATTGTTTTTAAATTTCAGTTTCAGAAGCTTCTAATGCAAATATCTTGATTAAATAATGAAAATAAAACATCGTGTATTTGCATAAAATTGAAGAATGGAAATGGGGAATGTGTCAAAGAGACAACAACCTCATGTTGCATGTATATTTTTATAACATTTTAACAAATACTTTCTTTAAAATGTAAGATTGTTCTTTAGAAATAACATTTGATCAGTATCGTCTACGGCATTGTTTTACAGCTGATTTTCTATTGCTCTCAAATCATCGGGTTTGTCATTGTGAAGTACTGGTTACTGCCAGCAGAGGTATCGAACCAATAGCAGTAATAACATTAACGGTACCAATTTTACTCCATCAGATGCGCATTTCGACAATTAATGTCTACTCAGTGATGCTTGAAGTCAGCATATTTGAAAATCCAAAACCTATTACAAACGTTGAAGAGCTGATCAAATCAGAAAGAACCTCGATCATGGCCAAATTCTGTCTTTGCATGAGGGAGATATATAATTCCTTAATCTTTAATGATATCAAAAATTTTATAACGGTATATTTCAATCAAACAATATCCGTATTTTCAGTAATAATAGCAAATTTCAATTGAACGTACTGGACAACAAACGGGTCTTGCTCTTGTACTGACACTTTATAAGGTTGCTATTCACCTGCAACACATAAAATCATCGTGTTTTATGAAAGTATAAAGAATAACAGTGACAAAATAAAAGAATTAGATAACACAATACAGGAATCAACGATGTCTAGAATAAAAAAATCATATAATTTAAGAAAAAATAATAGGTTTGGAGTGTTTTGAAGTAGAAATTTGTCTTTTCGTATAACTAGCAGTTTGATTGTAGCTCATATGAAAATAAGAAGATGTGGTATGATTTTCAAATGAGACAACTCTCCACCAGAGACGAAATGACATACAAGTTAACAACTATAGGCCACCGTACAGCCTTCAACAATGAACAAAACCCATACCGCAAAGTCAGCTATGAAAGGCTCCGAAATGACAAATGTAAAACACTTCAAACGAGAAAACTAACGGCCTGATTTATGTACAAAACAATGAACGAAAAACAAATATGATATACAGCAACAAACGACAGCCTGACTTATGTACTAAAATTGAGAATGGAATATTGTCTATTTAAATATTGTGCATTGTTTGGATTTGACGGTTATCGTTGTTATCAGGGCTGAGTGCGACATATTTGTTTGTTGTGGTGGAATATATGGAACATGTCTACGCACTTGTCAATGAGATAACGTGTACGATACTATTGGATTTTAAATCAAGGGTTGATCATGAGAACATTGAGTATGCGAAGGGAGTCGTCTTTGTTTGAATTACAGGTCGCACCATTGAGTTTTCTTATAAGCAAAACATGGACACAGAATCTGTATTTTAATCATATTGATAAATATGAACCATGCATAGTTTGATTCTCCAACATTTTTATTCTGTTACACCGTTACTCCCTATGACAACATTTTATACCAAAATTGCTCTTCCTGTCGCATGTTTGTTATGATCGATTGTGTATTTGTTGCGAGACGCTGGTATCCTTTTGGCAATTGGTATTAGTTTAATAATCTAGTCGGCCCTGGAATTCAAATTAATTGTATGTATCTATGAGTTTTTTTTAATTGATTAATCCCCTTCTCTAAAATCAGTATCATATTTCTCTGATCATTCAAAGTACCAATATCAGCATCCTTCACCTGTTGGGTGTTTTTTGTTGTTGTTGTTATTATGAGTTGGTTTATATTGATCGTTTTGCTTTAATGGTGCTGCGAAGATATGATTGTCCAGATTTGCACCCGTTCCATTTTCAGTATCAAAAGTGTTAGGGTTGGTGTTATATTTAGATTGGACATCTTTTTTGTAGGGTTAAATGTGTTCATATATGGTTCATTTATATGTATTGTTTGTCCTTTATGTGTCCGTTCTCAGAGAAAGAGAGAGAGTATTTAGTAGCATCATTTGTGTGACACGTCAAATGTTTTCAGACTACTTATATCTTTGTATATGAATAAGGAGATATGATTTGAATGTCACTAATACAGCTATCCAACAGAATCCAAATGAAGTGGGTGTTAGAAACTATTTGTTTTCATTAGTTTTAGGAGAATATATTGCATGCAGCACATATGCATCCATTGTTCTTCTATGTTTTGCTATTCGAATCAAATGCACAAACAATTAGTAACCAGTTGTTATCGTAAGCAACAAACTCA